TGCAGTACAAACAAGCTGCAAAATGAATCTCAGTGCTCCCAGTTGGAACTGGCTTGTGTTTCTCCACATTTCCATTTGCTGTCCTGCCAGCTCTTCTGGCCAAGCAGCCTATAATTCCAAGAGCACCATTGTCATTCCGTCCTGTTTCCGTACCGTGCAATTTGAAATCAGGGCTGGGGGAGGGAGGACGGGGCAGGAGGAGGCTGAAACTCAAACCCAGATAGTTCAATCTGCTCACTTGATTTTAAAGCCCTGTCTCATGGTGCCCATTACAGCCCCCCAAACATCTGCTTTAGCAGAGGCTTCCAAGTTCAAACACATTTTTTTTTGTCCTACAGATGTTCTTTGTCACTGACCTGTCGTGGGATGACAATGAGGGGGCACTACCTGGTGTCAAACCACAAGGGTGACACAAAGCACTTTTCTCACTTTTCTGGGCAGACAAGAAATCAAAAATTAACTTAGGGAAGTGGATTCATCTATTAAGGAGCTTTAATAAACATTCTAGGCTGTCAAGACAGATTTCAGATTCCAACCCATGTCCTTGACACCTCCATGGCGCCACATCCACCTCTGAGCTCCCCTGACAGGGAGAATCACCCCAACCCTGGGCAAAGGCTGATTGCTTGGGGAATTCTTGGCCCTTCAGCTGGAGAACTGGTTTCCAGTGAAGAATTCCAGCCTGTGCCTTGATGACCTTTAAGCTTTACTTACCTGTTGCTTTGACAGTCACGTTGCTGCACGTGCAGCCCACACTCGCAGGCCTGTGGGAATCCCTGTGGCATTTCCAGCAGCTCCAGAGGAGCCCAGCCAAAACAACACAATTACACCCAGATAAGCCCAGCTGGTTTTTATGGGAGCTTGCAGAGCACTTAAGAACAGCCTGAGTGGAGCAGAAGATGGATGTGGCAAAGCAGGGATACAAAGAACAAAAAGATAACCTTTACCCCCAGAGAAACATCAGGGAGCCAAGGGAAGAACAGAGAGATAACCCCAGGGTAGCCTGACCCTAACCAGGGGCACCCACCTTAAAACACCACACACAACAAATTGTTCCAGAAAGGAGCAATTTTCCTGACAGTGGCCAAGAAAAAGCTGCTGGAAGCACAGCACCACTGAGCTAGAAGGGTTTTGTGCCCACCCTTCAGGCTGTGCTAAAGCAGAATATATTGCAGAGGAATGTCTGGCAACTTGTGTTTACCTAAGTTGGCTCAGGATTCTCTCCTGCCTTGCAAATTGATCTCTCAGCAGATCCAAAAATTCAAATAAACTTTAAAAAGTATCACTGAAAACTTTAAAAAAAAAAATGCAATACACCTCCTTGTTGTGAATGAGACAGCTTTGGGCCTCCAAGATAAGGTATCATTATATAAGTACTGCAGAGGGGAATTAAGAAATTAAAAGTGTAATAATTGTCATTTATCCACATGTACACACCCCACTATGTGTGCTGGGGCAAATACCTGAAGCATGTGTAAAACAACAATTCACTGAGTAGTACATGCTACAAGTAGTACATGCTAAAAGCATTCCCAGCCTAGGACCTGCCAGACCCTGAGTAAAATGTGTCACCTCACATTCCCAGCTTGGAAGGAAGGATCCCAATCTGTTTCACACAGGTATGATGGAAAATGCCAAGGAAATGCCAAGCAGACACCCTGAGTCAGCTGGGGAATCCAGATTCCAGCAGGAAGCAACAAACCATGAGGGATTTTTAGGTATTTAAAGTGAAAAGGGGAGGGAAAAAAAGCAATTCCAGGAGGTAATTCCAGCCCTGAGCAGGTGCCTGAGCATTGAGGCTTTGCTGATGACAATCTTCCCTATCAAGCCATCATCTGCCCAGCATGGCCAGTTTGCCCAGTTCCCAAGGGACACCCTGCTTCCCAAGGATTGGATTTGTTGCTGCCTGCTAATCCCTGGAGCTGCTAATTACACCCATTATCAGTTTGTCCAGCATCCAGGCCTGGCACAGCTGTAAAATGTCAAGTGCCCATCAGGTTTGCAGACTGGTTTGGGTTAGCAGGGACCTCAAAGCCCAACCCATTCCAGCTGCTGCCATGCAGGGACACCTTCCATGCTCCCAGGTTGCTCCAAACCCAATCCAACCTGGCCCTGGACACTTCCAGGGATGGGGCAGCTCTGGGCACCCCGTGCCAGGGCCTTGCCACCCTCACAGGCAAGAATTTCTTCCTTAAATCGAAATCAAATTTCCCCTTTTTCAGTTTTGAGTCCATTGCTCCTTGTTCTGCCACAACAGTTCCTGATGAAGGAATGCTTAGGAAAGGGATGATGGAAAATGTGCTGCTTTAACACTGCAGATTTTGTGTTTATTTGGGAGAAACAATGGATTTTCAAGGACTCCGGAACACGGTCTCCATGGCAACTCTATGCAGAACCAGGGGGAGGGAGGGGAAGTTCCCATATTCCCAAATACTCAGAACTGAGTGATTTCAACTCCATTTTCCAGGGATTACTTAAACCAGCAACTGCAGGTGCAAAGCACTGCCCAGGTTCATACAGGGATGGAAACAAGGAATAGTTTCAGGCACATCATTCCCATGGAGTTTTATTTTTCCTGCTAAAAATGCAGAAATGCGCCTTAATGTTCAGCTCAGAAGAATTATTACCTATGTGCTTGTTCCTACATAGATGGCAGCCAAAATGTGGAAAACCACAGGGAAACCCTGGTCCTTCCTAAGGGGAACATTTGGCCTCAAGCACAGCTCAGCAACACCCCAAGGAGAGCTGTGAGCTCATCTCAGCATCAGGCTGAGCTTTAATCACTTTAAGTCACATCCCACCACTGGTTTATTTCCATTGCTCTTTCAAATTCAATTATTAAAAAAGGAAAACAAGACAAACCTAATTATGCTGGGCTGAGAGGCCCAGCTCAATGTCAGAGTCACTGCATTTCTCCCACCAAGAGCCAGACCTCAAACGTCACCACAGGCTCAGCAAAAAGCAGATTAGAGATCATTTTTGTTATCACCAACAAAGCCAGGGGTGTTGACAAAGCAAAGTGGTCGTGCTGAAGAAATTGCCCTTTCCCCAGTTCAGTGATTCTGCCTTGGTTCTCCCTCTAAATCATCAGCACAGAGGATAAATTGTCCAAAAGGCCACATTTTGTCACTTTCAGACCAAGGAAATCTCTTCTATCCACCATGGGAACATCAGAAACCTTCAAAACCCACAGGTGTTTCCCAGCAGATGCCATTTTCAATATTTCTCTGACAATTTCCTGACCTACAGAGCGGGATTTTAAAGTTTTCAGGATGTTCCATCAGAAAATCCTCTTCCATTTGAGGAGCACTTTGTGACTCCTTAGGAAGCTGTGTCCTCCAAGGGATTCCTCCTGTCTTACCAGCATCAGGAATTTCATGGGAGGAGAATAAAGTCAAATTATCAACTTTCCACACCAACAGCCACCTTCTACTTTCCAGCTCCATCATTACCTCCAGCCATTAATCCTGATTGGATTTGTATTCCCTACACAAGCCCATGAACACAACTAATGGCTGGGATATTCCATTAGGATCCTCTGCAGACAATTTGCTCCTCCAAGGACAAGCCCAGCAAAGCTGCCAGTGGAACCTGGGAGCAGCTGAGCACTTCTGTGTCACGCTGGTATTTCACATGCCTGTGTGTGGTTTGAGATGAGAAAAGCCACAAAAAGTCATGTACTGAACAATTATAACCTCAAAAAGAAACAAATAATCCTTTTTTTTTCCTTTTTTTTTTTTTTTTGCACAGTTACTCACAGGAGGAAAAGCAGAACAAAGCAATCCCATTAACAGATAAAAAGAAAGGGCCCAGTAAACAATTCCCAACCATACTGGTGGAGTCAACACATCCAGAAAAATGAACTTTCACTGCTGCTTTCCTGAGTCACTCAGCTAAGCCAAAAACCTTTTTGGGCTTCATTTTAACTTGGTGTTCACCACCACCAGCAACTGTGCAGAATGTGACAAAAACTCAGCAGTTCCCATCTTGTCAGCCACGAGCCACCAGCAGCCTGACTCCTCACACATGGCTCCAAAATGAAGCTCTAAGCAGTTTCTAATCACACAAATTTCAGAGTTACCCACCAGAATATGCCAGCCCAAAAATATTAAATGGGGGAGACTACAGGGAACAGGCTAGAGGAGAGCACAGACATTTAATTCTTGTTCCTATGCCCTGCAAAGGCTTAAACTGGGGCACTTCAAATCCTCAGTGAGTTTCTGTTCCAACACATCCTCGGAGAAGGGCTGAGATTTTCACAAAAACCTCGGTAAAACAAAATCAAAACAAACAAAGGCAGACTTTAAAAGTCGAGTGAAAATGTGCCTGTGAGCTTGCCCAAGAGGACATTCCTGGCCCTGGGAGTGGTGCACTGATGACCTCACCCAGCTGCAAACTCAGGCCAGGAAGTGTTTTGCTCGTGTCTTCAGAATAGGAAGCTGGCATCCCAGAGATAATTCTCAGAATTGATCACCAAATGAAACCCAGGAGCATAAATCCCTTCCCCATCACAACACAAGGTTTTGGTTTAATGAGCCATTTAATCAAATGTTGGACGTGGCCACCACGGTGTCACCGCGGGCAGAGCTCGGCACCCTGTGCTGCATCACCCAGGGAAAAGCTGATATTTCCCCCTTCTGCACATTCCTCCTCATTGCCATTAAACTGAATCCCTGCCTCTCGCTTGGAGTGAATCCCAGAAGTGACAGATGCAATAAGCATGAAGATTTCACTTGAAAAAATCCAATGATGTTTGAAAAGACAGCTCAGGAGAAGACAGAGCAATGCCAACAGAGAGCACAAATGCTGATTAAAGCAATCTGGATAAAAGGCTACAAGTGACCATTGAAAAATTACTATTATGAAGTGCTGCACTGAAACAAACACCAAGCAAATGCTGCCTGACATGTCCCTGAGTGTGTCAGGTCTTACCAAAAACACAAAAAAACACGTATACCCAAAATAAACACGCATTGCCACAAAAGTATTTGATCTCCTACCTTTGTGTACACAGTCCTTAGCAAACACCACTATTAGCTGCAATAAAACCTTCCTGCAAGCACACAGCCATCTGGATTTTCCCCCCCACTCCTTGAGCAGAAGAGATGATTCAATGCTGGTTATTCAAATGAAAAATGGAATAAACCCTCTCCTGCCTCCCGCACACGGCACCCGCTGCTTTCCCCACATCCCAACCCGCTGCTCCCAGGACGTGCTGTGCCAGTTCACACCATCCTCCTTCCCACACTCCAGAGCTTCCCTCGTGCGTGCCACAGAGGGAGAGCATGGCACCAGGTAATTTGGGAACAGCCTGGCCTAAAATTAAAACAAAATCGGGAAATTCAGCAGCGGACTGAAAAATCAGCTGCAGCCTGGTGCGTTCAGAACATCCCTCTCTGATTTTGCCACCGTCCTTGGTCTTGCTCCAGTAATCCCCACGCACATCTGCACAAACAGACGTGCTCACACCAACTCCAGTTGCTAAAAAAAACCCCAACCCTAACGCATCTCACTTATCTTCCACAATAAAACTGCTTCCATCGGGCTCACTTTTGTTTCCTGGCACCTTTCGCTGCCTTTTTTTTATTTTCTGCTTTTTTCAGACCTGCCTCCTGTGCAGTCAGTCAGTTAAGGCATCACAATGTCCGACAGCTGAAGCTCTCTCTGTGTCAGACACCTGCCCATGTGTCCAAGATCTTCCCTCGTGCTGTTAATGGAATCAGTGGGAATTTCATAAAGCACAGGTATGGACCAGCATTTAAATTCCAGCCTTTGGCACATCACTGTTAAACAACGTGGCTTCCTGCATAGGAAAACAAAGCCCGGGGACATCTGCCCGCAGCAAAGGGATGGGATGAGATGGTCCTTAAGGTTTTTCCAACCCCAACCATTCTGGGATCCCCTGGTGATTCAATGACATGTCACACAGCCCAGGAGGAGCCCACACATCTGCACAGCCTCCAAAGAGCCCCTAATAACAGCGTGACAAGGACCTGCTCTACAGGAGCCTCCGAAAAATAACCCCAAACTAAATCCCCATCAGGACGCTCATCTTTTGTCCTCTGCCATGGAGCACGGCGGGGACGGGCGC